ATAACGGAAGATATCCTTTAAGGTGACCTCCTCAAAAGGTACCCTAAAAGATAACTCACAGAACTGAGCGACGTATTCCTCAATGGGTGAGCTCCCCTGTCGCAAATCAAACAGCCGGGTGATGGCTAAGGCTAAGGCTAAGGCAATGACAAGGGCTCCGTAAGGTAGCTATCTCTAGGAGAGTGATAAACGCTGAAACAATACTCGGCAGAGGGAAGGGATCAGAGTGAGTGTTAAATAGTGAGGGAGTGATATGAGAGTCAATGAATAGGAAAGTTCGTTGACCGGATTCGTGACAATTACACAAGGTATAATACAATTATGTGTTTAATTAAGTTTTAACACTCCAACTTGAAATACATTCACGTTGAACCTCAATTGTTAACTTTAAGTTTATTTATAAACTTGGTGGAAATTATTTTTCAGGTATTTTTAGCCCCTTTCCATATTTACTAACCCTTATTCATGTTTCTTCAGCTTCAGAGGATACAGAAATTACCCTTATTTTTTTGATCTTTCATTCACAAAATTCTAACCTTTCATTGAAGTAAAACAATTGAAAATGGGGGGAAATCCCATTATGAAATAAATGTTTTGTCCAATGCATGTTGGCCACAATTATTGGCACCCCTAGAAAATCTTACGAGGAAAATATAAATCTGAAGTATATTCCCATTCATATTTAAAAATTTGTTTAGCAAACCAGGGTGACTAGGAGCATGAAATTGTCCAGCAATGACATCCTGTTCCACGGGATTATAAATATGAGGAACACAAAGGCTAAATTCACTCAATCATCCACAAGGAGTAAAACCAAGGAATATAGTTCAGATGTGCAGAACAAGATTGTTAAGCTTCACAAAAGAGAAAGTGGCTGTAAGAAAAGAGCTAAAGCATTGAAAATCCCCATTTCCGCCATCACGGCAATAATTAAGAAGTTCCAATCAACTAAAGATGTTACAAATCTGCCTGGAAGAGGACGTGTGTCTATATCGTCCTAATACATTGTGAGGAGGAGAGTTTGAGTGGCCAAAGACTTTCCAAGGATCACAGCTGGAGAATTACAGAGATTAGTTGAGTCTTCGGGTCAGAAAGCCTTAAAAAATATATCAAACAGCCCCTTCATCACCACATGTTGTTCAGGAGGGTTTAAAGAAAAATCCTCCTCGCTCATCCAAAAACAAACTCCAGCATATTCAGTTGCCAGACATGACTGGGACTTCAAGCAGGACTGGCTTCAATGGTTGGATGAAACTAAAAAAAAAGAGCTTTTTGCAGCAAACCCACCAGATGGGATAAAAAGTACCCCATGCCCACGGTTAAATATATTGCTGGATCTTTAATGTTGGGCCTATTTTTTTGTCAGACGTCCCGGACATCTTGTTCAGAGACATGGCATCATGGATTCTATCAAATACCAAGAGAAAAAAATGTAAACCTTACTACCTCTGTTAGAAATCTTATAATGGGCCCTGGTTGGATCTTCCATCAGGACAATGATCCAAAAGAAACATCAAAATCAACACAAAAATGTGTCACTGAGCACGAGATTAAGCTTTTGCCATGGCTGTCCCAGTTACCTGACCTGAACATGAGCAGGGTGAACTGAAGAGAGGAAGCACTAACATGGAGCTGGGTATCTGAAGGGTCTGGAGAGATTCTGTATGGTCTCTGTCTGATCTCTTGTCAGGTGTTCTCTAAACCCTTCAGGTATTATAGGAGAAAACTCAGAGCTGTTATCTTTGGAAAAGGACGTTGCAATAATTGGGTGTCAATAATTGTGGCCAATGTAAACTAGATAAAAACATTCGGTAACACTTTACTTGAAGTGGTGTGCATAAGACTGACATGGCACCTTCATAATCATGACATGACACATGTCATGAATATGATGGAGGTTTTATGCATATTTATGACAACTGTCATTAAGTGTCATTCGCTCAGTTATGTCATTTTTAATGCAAATATGACATTATTTGACCTAACCCTAACCTAAACCTACCCCTACCCTTACCCCTAACCATAGCCCATAACAAAGACATCTCAAACAATGTCATCTTTGCATTAAAAATGACATAACTGAGCGAATGACACTTAATGACAGTTGTCATAAACATGCATAAAAACCTTCATATTCATGACATGTGTCATGTCATGATTATGTAGGTGTCATGTCATGATTATGAAGGTGTCATGTCAGTCTTATGCACACCCCTTCAAGTAAAGTGTAACCAAACATTCATTTCATAATGAGATTTTCTCCCCACTGCAGCCCTAATATATATTGTATTTTATGCAAGCATGACTGATGTAAATGACAAAAACAAAGTTTAAGGCTGATGTCTCTATTCATTTTCACAGAAGCAAAGCAGCAGATGTTATAAATAAAAACCGTTAATTGAATCGAATATATTAAAACCGTTATTATATATTTAAATAATGTATAGGCAATAATAACGCCAATCTTGCATGTCAAGAGTGCAGCAACTGCGCCATCTAGCGCTCAATGTTTGAATCTGCATTTCAATAAAATTACATCACTCATACCTCCCAGATTGTGATCATTGAGATGAAAACTCGGTTCCAACACCAAAACCCGACATTTTCCCACTTTAATTTCCTCCCTATCCTATCTCTTCTTGTTTGGTACACAGGTGCGGTTATGAGACATTCCAGACTGTTGT